TTAAATTAATATATATATAAAATTAAAATTACATTATTTAATAATAAATACAATAATATAACTATTTTTATCATCAGATTTTGCATCTGTTAAAAAAAAATAAAAAAATATCACATATTTCCAAGCACAAAGTACAAAAAATGATAGTAAGTCAGCTTTGGACAAATAATATTCAGAAATCTGCAAAAATTATGTGAATAATAAATTTTTCTAAATCTATAATATATAATATAATTAATCAGATTAAAAAATTATTATATATTATGTCACTTTTCAGATTTGAAAGGTTCAAATTCTTATAGTTAAGCAATTTCATATTCTTGACTGATTAGTACAGATTAATAATAATACTACTACAGCTAAAATAACTGAAAGACTTAAATAAAAAGATTCTAACTTAAAAGTTTTTATTCATATAATTCAACGTATTTTAAAAAAAATCTTTAATTTGATATTTGTCATCTATTGCAGTCTCTTTTTTATAATTCCATTATATTACAGCTCATCTTGAATAGATACAAAAATATGTTTGTTAAAATTAATCTCACATAATTTTTTCTGATGAAATAACTCTTCAAATATTTAGAAATATTCAGCTAATAAAATATCATTATGAAATATCATGATTATATAAAAGTATAATAAAGTATCCCTATAAAATTCATGCTTGGGATGCTTTTAATATATAAAGATCAATTGCACTTATCTTTTTTACTAAAAACTTTAATGCTAAAAAATATCAAGAAATTCTTGAAATAAATCTTTTTTCCTATATTTTTGTAATAGATTGTAGATTATGTTTTCAACAGGATAATTTTTCAATTCACAATGTAGGTAAAATAATTAATCTTTTTCATTATTGTGATATTCAAATTCTTGATTGGTCTTCTTACTTACTAAATATTAATCTCATCAAGAATTTATAAACTATACTTAAAAGAAAGATGGAAAAGAAGATAAATTTATGGTTAATCAAAAAAAAAACTTTTAATAATGGAATTTCAAATAATAATATAAACAGAATGAACAGATTTGAGTAAAGATCTCTTTTTTTAATTAGCAAGAAATATGAAAAATCATGTTTTGTTAGTAATTAAATGAGAAAAAAAATTGACTATTAAATTTTTATAATTAGATTTGAGAATATACATATAAAATTTTTGTATATATTAATAATAAAAGTAAAATATCTTATCTGTTATAATAAATTTCAGATATTTATATTGACCACTATAAATTACAATATCTAATAACTTAATTAAAAAAGACAGAATTAAAATTTTATTTTGAAAAAATAATTTATTAATATTTATCTGTGATACAAATCCTTTTATACTAATTCATATATATTATATTTTTAATAATATTTCAATATAATTATATTATTTTATATAGATATTTATATAAGAATAATCTCAAAATCAACTTATTATAAATATATTGAAATCTTTATATATATATATATAATTATAAATTTATAAAAATCAAGTATTTTATATTTTAATTATATTCTTATAGTAAGAGATATACTGTATATAAGATATAAAAATCTTATTTAATTATTTATTATTGATAAAAATATTAAAATTTATACTTTATAAGTTCATATATATTAAGATAGACTATTCTTTTATATCTTTCTATTTTTATTATAAAGTTTCAATTTGTTTTTAAAATAAATATATTTAAAATATAATTTTAAATATATTGTATTTTTTTATAATAATTTATTAAAAATAGCTCTGAAAATTAAATTATATTTATCAAAAGTATCTTTTTAAAAATCTAATTACTTTAAAAATATTGAATTATTAAAAAATATAATATATTATAAAGTTTATAAATAATTATATATATATTAATAAGATTTTAATAATTAAATATTTATATATAAATTCTTTGTATTTGATATAACTAAGCTAAATATATTATATTCAGTTAAACCTCTCTAAATGTATCCTCTCTAAGTGCATGTACTATATAACTTCTCTCTAATTGCATGATATATTCTGGTCTCAGCTTATAAGAGCTCTATATATTTTGACCTTTATAAATGCACACTTTTTATTTTTTTTTACTATGATCCCAAAGGGGGGAGGGTGCACTTAGGGAGGTGTAACTGTAGTTATGCTATAACAATTATAATTTTTTATGTTTATTGATTGTTTATATAAAAACTAAATTGCAGATTTATCAGTCCAGATAACTTCCCCATGCACTGTATTAAATTTGAATCTTATTTTATTTCAGATACAAGTTCTGCATCTCTGGAAAAAATTTTGATAAAAAACTTGTGATGCTTGCTTCCACTTAACTCGAATTTTTATTTAACTTAAACATTTTTTGGCTGTTGTTCGGGTATTTTTTATCATATTTGATATACTTTTGATCTATTGCTTTATAAAAATATTATTTCTGGAAAATATGGCAGTTATCTACTAATTTGAGTTCTATTGAATAGGTTGTCTATTAAAGATAAAAAATTCCAATAAAATGATTCTAAATAAAAACTTGTTTCAAAGAATAGGATATGAATTTGATATTTAAATTTTTTGTGTTGTAATTTATTTTGTTTTTTATTTGAAAAGATCCTCTTGATATGTTCGTACACTTCGTTTTCCGCTTACTCTTTTTAAACGACTTCACATATAACGAAGACTAATTAAACTCGCGATATAGTAAAATTGCAATTCAAAATTGTCTTTAATGAATCCGCCTGATATAATGAAGCTACTAATAAACTTTCGATATATAATAAATTTTCATTGGACCCGAGACTTCATCATCATATCAAGAGTATCTTTGTAATAGAATCGATCGTACTTTGAATATGATATGTTCAATTCTAATATTAGCTGAATATTAAATCAGTTTTATAAATAATTTTTTCCATTAATAAATTTGACAATACTAATTTGATGAAGGTACAGTCAACCTTTCCTAAACGCAATTCGTCGGGAGCATATGACTACTAGACATAAACATGTGCTTAGAGAGATTGTTACATTTAGGGAGAGTCGACTGTATATTCTCAAAGAATTATTGAACAGTAATTGAAATTTGCTTAATATAAGGGTAAGCTAATTATATTTTGCATTATATTTACTGATAATTAATTTATTAACAAAATGTTTATTTTACTTACTAATGACAAGATATTCACATGAAAAATTATTTACTTTATTTCAAATACATGAATACATAAACACAAAGATCCGATTTGTGAAGAAATCAATATTCTTTTCACCGAAAAATTTTTAATACTTGCATTGAACCAATCAAAATGAATCCTTGGAATTTCGATGTTCGAATTTCGGACAACATCTGTGCAAAGAACGCCTAACTATTATGCGAGACAAAAGCAAATAGCCTTTGTTTTATTATTCCTTCCAATATTGAGATACAAAGCCTTATTTTACGAAAAAAAAAAAATAATTAACGCTAATGGACGACTTATCACCCAATGTGTTATTACTTCCAAAGGCACAAAGGTCGTAAAAGACGCTTACTACAATAACGCAGACAATCACACTTATATCATATACTGGGAACCAATAAAAATATTGTTAAATTGGGGATAAATATTAAAAAGAAGACGTGGTAGAGAATCTTACCCGTAATTAGGAATTGAAAACATAAGCATGAAAGCAAACAGGTATACTATTTAACGAGAGATCGAGGACTGATTATTAACAATATTGTTCAAACTGAATGCACTCTTTCAACCCACAATAACATGTACATGTACATGCTTGAATTACGTACTACTTGTACCATATCAAACTGCATAAAATTTCATTATGCATTAATTTGTAATTGATGTATTTATTACGTTACAATTAGAAGGTGCCCACACAACATATGGCTTCTGCTTTTCAAATTTCACAAAGACATTCCTTGATTCTTTAGTAATAGGCTTTGTCAAAAAGAAAATTGAAACACTTCTATTAATAGTTGGTTGAACAGTTCTAGACAAGAATCTTCTTTATCAATATCTAAATTAATGTCACTGAATAATCATAAATGAACTGTAAAAAAAAGAAAAACAGTAATTTGATTGATTCCACGTATAAATCTTAATAACCGTTCCTTTTAAACATTTGCACAAGAAATATGGTCATCCTTATTCGGAAGATTACCAAACATGCTAACATCAGGGCTAAAACATGTGCGTATTGAACCAATGTTATTAAAATGGCTTTTTTTACACATGTATTAAAAATTAAATTAAACTATTGATCCCATGTTTAGGAAATGTAATGCTAGTACATGTAAAACAATCTGCAACATAAAAATAACATAGATTCATGTTTTACCATATCATAAATTTTTGTGTTCCATTATGTATCGAATTTGGCCTTCAATAAATCATACATCGATATTTGATCCGTTTCTAGTTTTTTGAATAAACTTTTCGGAAAATAACACCGATAGTCATCTTATGTTGTCTTTATATCAATTATTTAAGCAAGCTTGAGTAACTACGTTCCAATTTTACTTGTAAAAGATTATTGGAATTGCATAATAACATCCTTATATAGTGCTTGTACGTGTATTATCTAAATATCCATGCTTTTTCATTCATTAAGGTTCTACCTTTTTCTTTTTTCTTTCAGTCTATTTGTCACTAATGCTTGAAAGTTCTATTTCATATATAAAATCGAAATTGTTCGGATATTAACACGCGAGCTTAAGCATAACTCCGATCGACTTATCGTTATGTGAAATGAAATATTTTATTTTTAACATATCATAAAAGAGATTATGAAAATATGGCCTTTGCCGTTATTTCTCGGCCTTTTTATGCTTACAAATAAGGCGTCACATCATAATAAAAATTAATAACTTTAAAAATACGTAATATACCTGTTAAAATGCTTAAAATCGCATACATTTGTGGTCTAAAAAATCTATAAATAATTTAAAAATTTCTTGTTAGTTCAAGATTTTGTAAACAATAAAAATTACAAAAAAAATATCAATTCAGCAAAAAGATTAATATGCCGAAAAACTCTCAAAACTCTGTTAATATTACTTCAATAATTAATATGCTAAGCCGTGATCGATTATTCCCACCTTACTACAAAGATCCAAAAGACTTTATACAGAGTCAACGAGGAGAAAGACCTAAAAGACCGCAAAATGCTTTTTTTATATTTCGGCGAAATGTGAGCAATGAATTACGACGTGTAGGCATCACTACGTGCAATATGCGTCAAACATCGACAATTTCTGGTTATTTATGGAGAGATGCCAGTGAAGAACAAAAGTCAGCTTATGAAGAAGTAGCGAAGCAAGTTCGAATTTTACATCACAGAATGTTTCCCGATTACGTATATACAAAACCTCGCGCAAAGCTAGAATTTCGCATACACGTACATAAACCGAAAACAAGAAGTAAAAATAATTCTCACTCAGAAATCAGAGATAATTTTACTTATCGTAATCCTGATATTTCGGCAACATCCTCAAATAGATCCTTAGCTATTGCGCCTACAGTTCCGTCAAACGCTCAATAGAGTTTAGTCTTTAATGACAGGTTACAATGACTAAACAAATTCAATTGAATTTGAATCAAGATGCTAAATGTGTCAATAGAACGTTAATAACAATAGAATATGATAATATACTTATTCCTTTCTATAAAATATAGCAAATCATTCTTATGTTCTCTTTAATAAACATATAAATATACTATGGTTCATACGTTTAATAAATAAACTTTTTATATAAGAAATAAACAGACCGATACATTATGTAAGTAAATTATTTACACTGTGTATGTTCTCCAAATAAGCGAAATGTGTGACTGTGGCGGTGTGGCGTCCATACAAAATGCTATAATATATATCAAAGTGAATTGATTTCAACATGCTACGGCACAGCATATAATAAGTACTCGGTGAATTTTCTTTAAGAAAGCAATATCGTTATACATGTGGATGTACATGTTCGTGCACATACATGTATATCGATATGCAAATATTGGACATGCACGTATAAGCCTTATCTATATATATTATAACTCCTTCTATAATCACTTTTCCAAAGCACATGTACAACCTCTCCTCTAGAAGTTACAACTTTACGCACATTAGAATTTGATTCGATTGTATAGCTATATATTGAAAATTTATTGATTGATATGCAGCTTCCATATGATTTTGAAAGAATTGAAAAATATTATATAAGAGAATTTTGAGGCATCTATTCTATTTCATAAATATATTTTACTCAAACGCTAAGCTATATTTTTATAATTTCTATAAACTTTAC